TGGGTCATGGGCAATCTTTGTGTGAAATAAAAACCTACCAAGTTTATCCATAAGAAAGATATGAACCAGACAGGAATTATGAAAATTTTCTTCCAGTGACCTTGAACTTACCAAATTGACCTTGGGTCAAGGTCATGACACATCCTTGGGTCATGGGCAATCTCTGTGTGAAATGAGAACCTACCAAGTTTATCTATAAAAGATATGTATCAAACATGATTTTTGAAAATTTTCTTCCAGTGACCTTGAACTTTCTCAAATGACCTTGGGTCAAGGTCATGACACACCCTTGGGTCATGGGCAATCTTTGTGTGAAATGAGAATCTACCAAGTTTATCAATAAGAAAGATATGGACCGGACACAAATTATGAAATTTTTCTTCCAGTGACCTTGAACTTCCCCAAATGACCTTGGGTCAAGGTCATGACACACCCTTAGGTCATGAGCATGCTTAGTGTGGAGTAGTAGATTCTAATGTCCCTCTGTAAGAAAGATATGGACCGGACACAATTGCACAGACAGACGGACAGCTAGACAGACGGACGGACGGACAGCTAGACAGACGGACAAGGTGTTTCCTATATACCCCCCCAAACTTCGTTTGCGGGGGGTATAATTAAATTTTGCCTTTTTGCTGCTAACTTTTACGTAGCGACCCTTCACTTTTGACATGTTTACATGCGTTTAACAGTCAGGGGTGGTACTGAAATCAGTCATTTTTGAAAATGATGGATAATGGTCATTTCTTCTAAGTATATAATGTACACAATTTTCTGATTTTTGTAAATATGACGTCTTTTCATCATATTTCCATTCTCAAGTCAATTTTCCCATCCCATTTATAACAGTAATTAGATATAGTACACTATCCTGCCATAGGCCCTTGTGTAGAGAAACATCTTGACAAGTAATTGAAACCAAAATAATTTAGTGCGCCCCGTAAAACTAATGAGATAATTAAGTGCGCCCAGACCTAACAATTTGATAAAAAATGATGAAAAACAGTCATTTTTAATATCAGAGATAACTCTATTTCTAAAATGAATTTCAAAATAGAAATGACTGTTTTTCATCATTTTACTAAAAAAAGATGAATTTCCATCATTATTAAAAATCAATTTAATGACTGAAAATCATCATTTTCAAAAATGACTGATTTCAGTACCACCCCTGACTGTTTAAACGATTTTAGATAAGTCGTTCGTAATATAAGTCACCTTGACGTTTTTCTTTTTCTTAATTAATTAAACATTGAAATAATCGAGCAATACGCAAGCATCTCTGTATCGGTTATTGTATTGCTAAAAAATATCGATATATAATTTAATTTTGTTTGTATTCTTGCCTCTCATTGGCTGATTTCCAAAAAGGAACGCATAACATTTTGTATAATCTGGTTTGGTTTGGGGACACACCCCCTTGACAACCAGCTGAATCATCTGTATCCATCAATCCCCTCATTTCCAGTCCTTGGGATTATTGGAAAATTCCAGATTTAATGAATGTACCTTTAACTTCAAACAGTAGCTCGATCTTACCTCGTGTAAACAAGCATCATGGCTGCTAGATCTATCTATCAGTTTTTACCTCCCCTCGCTTCCCATCACTTCCGTTACTACGGTTGTATTATTGAGCGGTAAATTTGAACTCATAAAAACAACACAATTTTACACCCCCAGTTGTTTAATTATTTTAAAATTAAATTATAAGGAATGACTCTAATTCTTGGCCAAATTATAGAGTATAATATGGTTTGGGTCAGTTTACGCTATTTTATAATCCGCTTCGCGGATTATAAAGCGTAAACTGACCCAAACCATATTATACTCGATAATTTGGCCAAGAATTAGAGTCATTCCTTAAATATACCGATTACCGATATATTGATCCAGCCCTAGATAAAGGGGGTGTAAATTTCTGGGTAGGACCCACAAATATTGGTTGAGGCCTTTCAATTGCCGCTAGGGTTTGATATTATGATCAATAACTCATAGTTTCAACTTGTTTAGCGCATGCAGTCCGGGGTATCTGTTTATAAGTGAGTCAGGCTGAGCATTTCTTTGCTGTGAGTAGAATCCAGTGGTTTGAAAATGTAGCACTTGTATTTTAACCAAATAATTGACACCGTTTAATTATCTATGTAAAAATTTAAAATTAAAACAAGAGGCCCATGAGGACACATCGCTCACCTGAAAAACTTTGACCATGTTGTTCTTTAGATTTCCCCCTTGTTTAGATGCATTTATTCATTTTATTGATTGTGTGAGGAAAGATGGAATCCCAATTTTGAAATAAAAATTTCATCTTTATTTCACTTGCATGTATCTAATAGTACTTATTCCTTTGCATCGATTCAAATGTTGTTTCATTATTTGATCGTCAGTCCATTCGACTTATAGTCAAATGGTCATCTATTCGGTGACATCCTTACTGAATATTTAACATACATAATTTAGCTTAATTAAAAATATAGCCCAATCAATGGATATGGAGTTTTTGGCGTAATTATGAATTAGCGATACACATGTTGACATGCCATATATTCTCTTTATAAATATAATAAATAAATTCTTAGCGGGATTCATGAATTAGCAAATCCTTGTCTGCACCAAAGCTGCTAAAATATCAAGCCCGCTATTTTATACAATATATAACCACAGGTACTTGTGGACAGGACCCCCCCCCCCTTCCCCCGATATTCAACCCCGGGGCTTATTTGACATTTTTTTCACTATTTATATTTAGTACACTTATTCAACATGTTTGCAATAGGAACAAATCGACAAAACCCCAAAATAATCGCTTCACAAAAAAATACCCCACTATACATTATAAAAGAGAAGGAAAGCAACTTCAGTTTGTTTACGTTGTACCCCCACTGATCTTTCTGGGTTTAAAAACGTGTATTTATTTCATTTTCACCTAAAATGTCGGTCCACACTGTCTCTACATACAGTGCTCCAAGTTGCAACTAAAATGGTCGCATTTGCGACCAAAAAATTGATTTTGAGACTAGAAATGAAAATACACTCGCATTTTCGCGACTGAGAATATGTGGGCTGGAAACGTCCAATTTTTAAGATCAGGATCGAGATTTCATTTGTAAAGATTCTCTATCAAGAAAATGTTTGAAGACATATACATAAATACACTTTACTAAGTGTTGCATGGACTTAGATCACGTAATGTTATGACAGCATGGCATGCTGTGTACAAAGTTTGATAGAACTTGAACCTGAGACGTGGACAAATAATGTTCCTGATAGAATGGCATCCAAACTTCGTACACTCTTTAAGATCTGACCTTGTTATTGAAGCATTTGATCAACTGCCTGCATATCACAATGAATCATGATTGTATTATCATGCTAATAAAGAGTTTTTTGGCGGCATTTATAATGACTGTGTAATGGGTTAGGTACGTAGTAGTAGGTAAATAAGACAAACAGCAGGCAAAGTCCTGTCTCAACAGCTGTCAAGCTTGTATTTTCATTTGATAAAATTTTATTTCTGTATTCAGATTACTTGTGTTTTTCTGTACAACCATATGGGAACATGTATTCAATAAAAATATTTCATTCAACCTAGCAAATATTTATAGACATAATAATAAGTAATTTATGATATAATAAAGTCATAATACATATCTTTATTTAAATTATCATGTTTAATTCACAAAATGTTTTTTTTTATGGCGAGTGAAATATTTGATTGTGGCGACCAGATATTCTGAAATGGCGACCAAAAAAAATTTTAGGTCGCCATTTTGCGACCTGAGAGCAAGTGTGACTTGGAGCACTGACATATATTTCTGTCTCAGTCAATGCCATCGAATTAACTCTGCATCTCGTAAGAATCCACAAACAGCATTCTAGTTAGAATGTTGAAAAATACCCCATATACATTATAAGAGAGAAGGTAAGCAACTTCGGTTTGTTTACGTTTAGGTAAACGCAACGGAAGTGCCTATTATCTATGATAACACCCGAGGGTGATTATTACGTCAGAGAAAAACTCTCTCGGACGTTATCGTAATAAGTGCAACATTCTCTATGCACTTCCGTTGCGTTTACCTAAACGTAAACAAACCGAAGTTGCTTACCTTCTCTCTTATAATGTATAGTGGGGTATTTTTGTTGAGCGATTATTTTGGGGTTTTGACAATTTTTTCCTATTGCAAACATGTTGAATAAGTGTACTAAATATAAATTGTGAAAAAAATGTCAAATAAGCCTTGGGGTTGAATATCGTAGGGGGGGGGGGGTCCTGTCCACAAGTACCTGTGTATATAACTTTTTAGAAGATACACTGACAGTTAACATATCGCATACCAATCTCGTAATACAAAGAAGTTTAGGGAAAGCTGCAATGTGTGTATGCATCTAACAAAGGGTTCAAATACTGTAGAAGTACTTTTTTCTGTGTGGTATCAATTTACGCTATGTACACAGTAAAAAATTTTCAGCAGAAATTTGTCCAAGCGTACTTCATATAAATGCAAAGCATATAATGACAATCTAAAAAATCCATGTAATTTTCTACCCGCTGATTAAACAGGCCTGGGGGCCATAAAACTTAGACAAGCTCACTTTTGATCTCAGTCTCACTTTTTCCAAAGGAATATATAGTGGAAAAGTGAGACTGAGATCAAAAGTGAGCTCGTCCAAGTTTTATGGCCCCCAAGCCAAAAATTGAAGATTTTGTGGAATTATGACCCCATGGAAAAAAGTACATCTACAGTAAGTTTACAATGACAGATGAAAGGAAATAGCAATAGGTCAACTCACTTGGCTGACCTATGAACCATATGCATCTATCATCAACTGCCAGGTCTCCAGACCTGGTTATTCAAAGGAGGGTTTATCATAACACTTTGTATCACCCTGTACATGCTGTATTTAACTTGGTGTTAAAATTATACCAATCCTTTGAACAACTGGGCCCTGGACAACATGGCAAGAGGACATGGGGGAGGGGGTGTTAACATTTAATCTCATACCTGTTAGAAACTGATCCATGTTGTTATAAATCTTTTTCTTTCTGTAATCAAAGAATTTTATGCTAAGTTTTGCTTCAAGGAACCACAAACCTGCAAATGAATAATCATGATGCGGTATAATAGAAATCAAGCCCAAAATTTGAAAAATATTGCCATAAAGATATTACAAAATCTTGACCAACAAATACAGTAAATATGGAAATTTTTACTGTAATTTTTTAGCAAATTTGCGAGTTCATTGTATACGCAAAAATATTTTTCTTCAAAATAAATCATCAACAAAAAAATGTAAACAAAGCAATTGTACAGAGTGTCATTAAGAAACCTGTTTAATATGCTTACAAGCTGATTTCCAGTGATAATTTGAGTTTAGAGAGTGCTTTAACTATATTTTATAGTGTTTGATGGTTAGACAGGCAGTATGCCTCTTTTGAATTATTTCTTCAACAAAAAAGAGCCAGTTGTTTTTTTTCTAACAAAATATCCTTAGCATGACAAATTGTACATGTGTATAACTTATAATCTGTTATAAAAATATAGGCATTTTTTTAATTTTAGTGCCAATGACAAATTTGAGACGTTTAATTATATATATATACATCAAAAATACCCAAGAACATGAAGATTAAATAAGATGTGAATAATTACGGATCGTTTCGTGATTTTCTTCTAACCCCTTCCAGCCCACTGGCAAACTCCAGTATGAAAAGCATCTTCAGCATAAAGTCAGCTTCTGACCTGAAATAGTAATACGAATGTTAAATCTTTATCACCCTTCCTCTGTTCACTCAAGTAAAATTTGGCTTTAATTTTACAATTTTCAACCAGAAAATAAATTTATAATCGAATATCATTATAATACATATTAATGAAGGTGATGTGTACAGACGTGTAGAGTCCTGGCTTACACTGTGTCTGTGATAAAGGTGATGTCTTCAATCTTGGAGAAGAGCTCGAGACTGAAACAAAATTTACAAAATATCATGGCATAAATTGTGTGGGCAAGATTTGACAGACAATTTGGACTCCTAAAGGGACAATTCTATGAAGGAATAATATTCAGTTATTTAAGTGAGTCTCAGAGTTATCTCCCTTATCAGAGGGTCAATATATACCTAACATTAGGGCTCTTGGTTGTCTATAATTTGGGCCATTTCAATGCCCAATTCCCAATTCAAAAGAGTTACCAAAACCAATTGAATTGTTTTCTCAAGTCCTTCCTCCAAATAAGTTAACTTAAATTATTATACAAATATGGACTCAATGTAGGTCAATATGGATTTATAATGACCCAGAATGACAGATATTGACCAAAGATACATGGAGTATATTGACCTCTGGCTAGCGCCCTCGGTCGATATCTGTCATCCTGGGTCATTATAAATTTATATTGGCCTTGCATTGAGTCCATATTTATTATATCATTTAAATAATAACTTCCCAAATTCATCAGTACAATGTTATCTTCCTAATGTTTACAGAGATAGTATTAACCATAAATAAGATGAATGAAACATTTCTGAGTTTATAGAATGTTACTCACAGGAACTTGTTTCGGTAATAAATTTTAACCCATTGCATATCAGTTATCTATCTCTGAATAACAAGAGTACCCCCTCCCCCAGGTTCAGAATCGCACTCATTTACACTTGCACAGGAAATACACTGACAAAATATTAACTCCTATCTTCTAAAGATGATTTATCTATACAATCATACATGGCATATTTGTCTTTATTTTCTATAGTCTCCGTAATCACATAAACGGCTTCAAAACTCTGCTCGTCCTGCTCAAGAGTCAAATATAACAACCATCTTTGCACATTAAGGGTTTTTAGTCCGCTTCACTCCCCACAAACCCTTCAGGATCTTGACTTGCAAAGATGTATTAAAACTTTACTTGCTACTTATATTCTTCTGTATTGCAGAACAGAGAAATTTAAGTCATAGCAAACAAGAGAAAGACAGTTTATAATGATACTCTATTTACCTTTCAACATGTTCAATTCAATCAATTGTTTCTGGCCTTCGAATGTGAAAGTTCTCTATAAATTTGCTTTCGGACATCCTTGTTGGGATCTTGCTGGAATTAAAAAACCCAGAAAGGTTAATAAAATAGTAGGAATTAAAGTGAAATACATGAATATGGTGAATTAACAGAAATGTAACACTTTTAAGGGTTGGAGTGTTGGGGAAATGCACATTTAGCAAAAGATGTTTTCAGAATCCATTGCTTATCTGTATACCACCTTCTGTGTTGTGATTGTTTGTATATTGTTTAACCATCCTCTCAAGAAATTTTTACTCATAATATTATTATGGTGATGCTACCACTTGCCGGTGGAGATCTGCAAATTCTGCTGGGATTTCCTTTACCAGGAACTTTGGACCATTTAGCAGTGTCAGAGGGATCTTTTTCATGCCAGCACCTACTGACATGATCTCAGTTTATACCATCTCATCCTGACTTATCAATTTTCTAAATTTACATTCCCGACCAGTAGAATTATTCAAGAAATCAACTCTACTAATTTTCAAAGAGTTATCAAAGAGAAAACAAATAGAAAAGGAAATATTTGACTAACACTTCGTGTTCCATTTTAAACATCAAATAATGAAGAGACTGAATACTTTCATTTCCTATGAAAAATTTTCTTTTTAAACTCTGTGGCCAGGTCTTGGAACACAGGCTCTATAGAGTTGCAATGTACAGTTATTGAATTTTGATGTAAACAGGTATATTTCAGTACTTTAGAGAAGAAGAAATAATATGAGCACATCCTCTGATCGAAAAAATAAATTGTGTCTTGTAATCCTCAGAAATAGTTCTATTATTTACTATAGTTATTTATTTTTAGATCAGAGGTTGGGCTCCATATCAAATATTGAAAATAGCTTTCAAAATTGACTGTTTTTGTAGACATTTTTAGAATATGATGATATTCAATTGATGCATTTTTGTGATATCATAATGTATTGACTAGCCAGAAAATTATATCATTTTGACATCAAAGGTCTAAATGATATATGCAATCAGGGACCTACGTTTTTCATAAATTCACAGGGGCAAAAAAAAAAAAAAAAAAAAAAAAAAAACATGAAAAAGGCCATATATATAAGTTCTTTTGAACACTTTGATTCTATTTTCCTTAGATGGGCTTCTTCTGATGTGTTATCATTTTAAAGGTGTTATTTTATTGGGCCACGTTGAGAATCATGTCTGTCTTGGGACAGGTCCTCAGTGTAAAACTTAGAGCAAATATACAGTAGGAGCATTCCATAACCACGGACCCCTGAATTTCTATCAATAAGCCGTTATATATAAAATCAATGGTTACTGTCTTGAAATATAAGCCATATTTGGGCGAGGGTAAGAAAACGTGATAGAGGGTGAGGCTTGCCAAGCCCTCTTACGTGTTTGACCCGAGCCCAAATATTGCTTATATTTCAAGACAGTTATCAAATATTTTGTTTATTCTGCAACAAAAGTTCAACATTTGAACGTCCAAAACTAGCTATTTTCAACAGATTTAGGCACATCTCTGCAGCTGAAACTATGATGCCATGGCGTAAAAACATTGCAACATACGTGACGTCACAATGCTTTTAGAACGTCGGAATACATGCACAAGGCTTTATTAGGGCAGTGACCGGATAAAGCTTTGGTTTTTTAGGTTGCCTTTATTAAGGTCAAGATCTAGTAAATAACTTTAGAATATTTTTTGGAGCTAGATCCATTATGACGTCATAATCAATTTTAACTTTCTTTTTCCCGTACTTTACGGCTTTAGCAGAATTATGTAGAAAATAGGGTATTTTCATGACATTCAATTTGAAATTATATGAAAAGTAAACCGGATACCTATATTAAATTTGATATTGATTTAAAGATGAGGCCATAAACATACTAGTTACCGTTTTCTGAGAGACTGTAGGCAATCTGGATATATTTCCTTCGTCGAATATGAAAAAAAACTCCAATATTCACGACTGGTTTTCTTAATTTTTCAATGAAAATGACAATTTAAAATACAGTTTTTCATCTTGTTTACCTACAAAATATGCCCCGAAACCCCTTATTTGACCAATCTAAAATTGTTAAGCATCAAAAAAAGGAATTTATTTCTCAATTTTGATAAATCTGTAGGCACCTTTCATTTACTAGATCTTGACCTTAAGTCAATGCAAGGGGTAGTTGCAGGATAAATGCTTATATACCCCCTCTGTATATAAATATTACTCTAATCGAGCATATAACGAGCCATTAATGGCTTATTCAATATTGGTATAAAGAAATTCAGGGCCTGTGCTAGGTCAAGAACAATACCCAGATAAAGGTATATAGCTTGTCAGTAAATTCACCCATGCAGGTAAAGTACTCAAACACAAACAAATCAGTATAAAAACGTGTCGTTTGATGAGACGTTCATTTATGCTTTCTTTTTGACACCAGAGTGTTTTTCATGCACGAGTAGACACACTGACAACAACCCGCAAAATCTTAGCCTGAAAAAATGTAGCTTCGAAAGGATTTTGGAAATAATATATGAAGGCCCCTTGAAAGTAACTGTCAGGTTAATTAGGCCTATAACAAACCTTCTTGTGATTGACGATACCTTTCCCTTTAGATCTATGCTTTTACCCACAAAATGCTAACATGCCTAATCTAACGTCTCATTCGGAACTCTCTGGATTGTTCATTAGATAGAGTCAACGCGCCAGCGGTGTTGCCCATATTACCATTTCGCGGAACATTCCATCCTAAACCCGTTCGATGGACTTTTTCTTGAAAAGATTTAATCAGTCAATGTGGAGTTTGATATTTAATTTTATTTTTATTTGATTAACATTTTTATTATACCGAAAGGAAGCATTCAATCACGATACTCACCATACTGAACGCACGATCTATCACATGACCTAAGCCCTATTTACATAATTATATTGGCCAAAGAAAATTAAGATATCTACAAGTTAATAATAAGTGGTCTGAAGACAATATTTTAATTTACGAATCATTATTATTATGGTCTTTTGTTTTATTTGGAAAATTCCGCTAGCCTGGTTCCCTGCCCCTGCTTAGGTTCCGGCAATCTCCCCAATCGGAACATCACTCGGCCTTTTCCGTCAAGTCAGTTTTTTTCTCGACTTGACGGAAAAGGCCGAGTGATGTTCCGATTGCGAGACTAATATCAGTACAAGTAGAGCTTTTTAAAAAAGCTTACCGTCTTTAGCAAAAACCTTAAACAGTAAACTAATCTACATCTTTCAAGTCGTACATTAATTCTTTTGAATTTCTTGATTTCGTATTTCTACAATTTTACCGGTATTAGCCCTACCGCGGTTGTCGCTCGGTCATCTCCGTAAACTGATTGAGACCTTCGGCAAACCCCGGCCAATTCCGTTAAATGTTACCTTCTTCAAACAAATAAGGGGAAAAGAATAAATGCAAATTGTAAAGCCAGCAAGCAATAAAAATCAAATCTTATTTGCAACATGATGAAAATAAAGAGACCTGTTTAGTTATTGCTATCAAAAATATTGTTATTTAGAATTAATTACTGCTGATTTTGTTGTTCGTTTTGTCATTTTTTTAAGATTGGAAATATTGAAAAATTGTTAAGTCGTACGGAAATTAGACCATCAGAAAGTTATCTCCCTTTCCTTGAACAGCATTTCAACCAATTAAATAATTGAAAATTTTCTCATCATGCAATTTCTACCAATCACAGAAGAGAGGAAGTGCATAGTCCGAAGACTGTAAAAAACTTCAACTATATAATACCGTCTTCCAAGGAAGACGGTAATCAAAGAAAGATAACTCTTGCTGATTAATTGCACGTTCCAAAATTTTTATTTTTAATCCCCCTCTTTTTAAAAAATATATTATAAACAATAAGTCATTTTTACAATACATGTATAAATTAATTTTTGTTTTTTTGTAATATTAAAGTTCCGCGCCAATTTCTGAGCGGGAAGTTTGAGACCGCCTTTCAAGAATCTGCACAGGGGCTTCTGCACTACTTTGGTAAATATTTAGATATTTTCGAAAATATTGCATATAAATGTTTATAGATTGTCGTTGTATACATAGGCATTGCATTGGCATGAAAAATCTTTACCACTAAAATTACATGCACATTGTATGCTCCACGTGGTAGTGTTTACATTTTGATAGCACTTGGTAAAATGCGTGGTAAAACATGGCCGGGCCGTTCAATATTTATTTTTTAGACCCCTGTTATCCTTGTTGTTCTGTCTTTCTGTACAAAATTAATCTTGACCTATAACTTTTGAAGCGGAAAAAATAAAACTAATTGATCTTATTCATCAAGGTCAAATCTAGCTGCAGATGTTGATTTATTACGGTAATTTTTATTCCCATTAATCTATGCATTTTGTTTGTTGTTCAATTAATAATTTGTTGAGTTTTGTTACATGAAGCAGGTCCAGGAAAATCAAGTATATTTAGCTATATAAATCTACCCATATAGCTTTATTTATTTATATATATGATATAGCTTTATTTAACTATTTTGGAATAAGTTTCTGTTATAAATATGAAAAGGCTAAGCAGACAAAAAGTCGCATATAAATTATATTGGCTGATATATTTTTAGGTCACCTGAGCCAAAGGCTCAAGTGAGCTTTTCTGATCACATTTTGTCCGGCGTCCGTCTGTCTAGCTGTCCACCTGTCTGTCTGTAAACTTTTCACATTTTCAACTTCTTCTCAAGAACCGCTGGGCCAATTTCAACTAAACTTGCCACTAAGTATCCTTGGGTGAAGGGGATTCAAATTTTTCAAATGAAGGGCCACGCCCTCAATCAAGGGGGGATAATTGGAAATTAGGCCTAGAAAAAAATATGTTTGTTTCCGCTTTCCCGACCGACCCTAATTCATACTGCCGACCCTAAAATTTTTTTTAATGCTTTCCCATGTCAAAGTGGAAGGCAGTTTGTTGGCAGTTATTAAGCCTTCACAGTTTTATTTTTTAAGTAGTTTAGTAGCAGTTCCATCAGCCTTCCATGTCCCTCAGACATGCTGATTTAATATTCATAAAAATAGTCAGTTCAAGGCAGTTTTTCTTAGCCTTCCAGTTTT